GAATTGTATTAGAGGGAATAATCATAGTCATAAAATGAATAAGAAAGAAGCATTAAGAAAGGCAAAAGATGGGGAAGGTGTCTGGTGTGGAGGTTAAGATGACCATATAGAAGTGCTTTGATTCAGTTTCTGGCTCTTAATTTCTACTAAATACATACTGTAGGTCATCAGGAGTGGGTCCTGGTCAGTGTGTGGGACACCTAAATACTAAATACAATGCTCCAGCCTCTGCTGTTGCATGCATTTGGGGAGAGAACAAGCATATTGAGGGTATGACTTGTTCATATTCTCACTCAATTTCTTTCTCTTTCTATCTCTCTGCGTGTCTGCCCTCCAGACAATAGTTTCTTGAAAGTCAAAGGCGTGAGATTGTACACAGTAGAGATTATGAAAGGGAAGTGGTTTTCAGGATGGAGGATCCATTAGTTAGCAGTGTCAGTTGTAGCAGAGAGCATGTGAAGAATGAAGACAAAATAGACTAAATTTGAGGATGTATTTGGTAATCTTTGAGAATGGAGTTTTAAGGGAAGAATAGGAAAAAAAAAATGAACTCAAAGGATGGTGGACATCAAGTCAGTTTTGTGGAATATCAGTTCTTAATTCTGATTTGTTGACATCATTTGCCAACTTCCTATTCCTGATTTTGGCACCTAGCTCAATGTTACATAACTTCAACGTTTATATAGATAATCTCTCTGTCACCTGGCCTTTCAGTATAAAGATCTTTTTCTCCATTGATCTTATTCTCTAGTTAGTCCACAGCCATCCACTTACCTAGTCTTAGTGAGGAGATGAAATTGATATATTTGTGAAAGTACTGATTCTCTAGCACAACACATGCTTTTTCAGTTTAATTTATTTGATACAAAGAGAATCAGAGAAGCAATGATGGACTCCCATTTATTGAAATCCACATGCCTGCAATGACCACAGTCTGGCTAGGACAAACCCAGAACAAGGAACTTGTTGGGACTCCTGTGTGGGTGGCAGGGACCCAACTGCTGAACTGTCACCTGTGCTTCCATCACAGGGTACCCATTATGGGGAGGCTGTAATTGAGATTGCATACAGGTGTGACAACTTGTGTCTTAAATGCTAGGCCAGAGGCTTAGACCACTGACTGTTCTGTAATTTCATCTGATCTTCCAGCCCAATGATTCATTTATTTTCTCTCTACTTTAGCCTTTTGTTCTTTTTTTTTTCTCCTACTTTAGACCCATGTTTCCTCATGTTGATAACTTTTACCAATACTTCAAATTGTTTTTTCCTCTTTGATTTTTGCTATGCCCTTCTGAAGCCATCTGATTCCTTCATGAACTCAGTGATAATACTTTGTTTTGCTATGCCTGGTGAGAGAAGGAAAGTTTCACAAAAATACATTGGTACCACTATAAATTCATAATGGAGCCCTGTCTCTGGTCCATCGGTACTACCTGGCAATGCTAATATTTTCTGAGATTACTTGTTCTATGTTAATGTTAAAATTAACAATATTAAAATCAACAGTTTTTATTTCCTCTAGTAGATGATGTTCTTTTTCATAAATAAAACCCACCAGAGCATAATTAGAATTTTCTGTCGTCAAAGCTATAGTCTTGCCTGGAAGCATATCTAACTTTTCTTCAATTCTAGTGAAAGAATTTCAGTTCCTTCACCTGTCTTCTGTGTTTTCATTTCCTGCATATTTTCTATTGATTGTGCTTCTTTTCTCATTTATTATTAATCTTTCTTTTCAACTGTCTCACCTAAACATTTACATACTCTCTGATTCACCTAACCTTAAAAAATGTTAGGCTGGCATGGTGGCATGGCCTGTGATGCGAGGATAATGTATGGGCTCCAGTTCATGACGTGGCAAATGCACTTCTGCTCCCTGCTGGTGGCCTGAAAAAGCAACAGAAGATTTCCCAAGGCCTTGGGCCCTTGCATCTGCATGGGAGATCCATAGAAAATTCCAAACTCCCAGTTTGGGACCATTCCAGCTCTGACTATGATGGCCATTTGGGGAGAAAACCAGCAAATGAAAGAGCTTCCTCTCTAATTCTTAAAGTAAAAATTAATGCTTTGGCCTGGCATGATAGCCTAGTGGCTAAATCCTCACCTTGCATGTGCTGAAATCCCTTATGGGCACCATTTCATGTCCTGGATGCTCCACTTCTCATCCAGCTCCCTGCTTGTGACCTGGGAAAGCAGTCAGAGAGGGCCCCAATTCCTTGGAACCCTGCCACCCTCATGGGAGACCCTGAAGATCCTGGCTACTGGGTTCAGATTGGCTCAGCTCTAGCCAATGAAGCCACTTGGGGAGTGAAATAGTAGATGGAATATCTTTCAGCCTGTTTCCCCTTCTCTCTATAAATCTGACTTTCCAATAAATAAATCTTTAAAAATAATAAATACATATTTTTAAAATAATGGGATTAGAAAGAAAAGACCCTTCTTTGACTTTTTTTTCTAGCTACCTATCATTCTTTCTCTTCCTCTTTAATTCTCATCCCACTTGGGCTCTCTGAAACTTTTAACAAAATTATCCATTTTTCACCCAGCTCTTTTTTCTTTTGTCTATTATTGCATCAAAAGCAATGGTTTTCTTTCTACTTCTATGATGAAAATGGGAAGCTACCAAAATGTTTTAAACAGAGAAAGATGATTTTTACTTTGCTGAATGAACTTGAAAGGGAAAGGATGTTAAAGAAGGCACATTAGTTCTGAAGCTATTACATTGTTTAAAGCAAGAGATGATACGAATTAGAATGGTGATAATTGACTTAGAAAGATTTGAACAGCTCAAGAGAAATTTGATAGGTAATATTAATGTTATTGTGATTTTTTTTTTTGATGGGCTAGATATAGGGCACAAGAAAGCAAGTTTTACCTGTTCTAGTTTAGACACCTAGGATAGGTGAGATGTCATTTCCAAAGGGGTTGGCGGACATTGGAGGAGGAGGAATTGGGATGTTAGCCTGGGAAGATATATTCTGGCACATGGTTGAATACTAGAAATCTTTGATTCTGAATGAAAACATCAGAGGGGAAATTGAATAAACAAATCTGAATCTCAAAGAAGTTGTAGATAGAAGTATTGCAATCATTCATTTGCAAGTGACAATTCAACTAAAGTCATACATGTTAAAGAAATCATTTAGGGAGCAGCATGTTAATACGAGTTCTGTCTAAGCTTTGGGAGTTAACATTTGAAAGCTGGTTCAGATGTGGTAAATTGGTAAAGAAGAATGAGGCTGTTATATATAGAAATCCTTGGGAATAAAATTAGACATTGCAGATTGCTATATGAAGAGCCAGCAAACATTATCTATATAAGTCCAAAAAACAAAAATTTTAGGCTTTATGATCTGTATGATCTCTCTGCAGCTATTCCACTCTAGCATTGTGGCATTAAAAAAAGCCATGTAGAAAAACTATTTGCTAACAAAACTTTATAAATACTGAAAATTGGATTTCCTGAAATTATTATTTTAATTTTTCAACTGTTTTAAGTTTAAAACCATTCTTAGCTTATTTTCTGTGCCAAGATAAAGAGTGTGACTCTGTTACTGAATTTTTTTTTTTAAAGATTTATTTTTATTATTTTTTCATTGGAAAGGCAGATATACAGAGAGGAGAGACAGAGAGAAAGATCTTCCGTCCGATGATTCACTCCCCAAGTGAGCGCAATGGCCAATGCTAAGCTGGTCCGAAGCCAGGAGCCTCTTCCGGGTCTCCCACGTGGGTGCAGGGTCCAAAAGCTTTGGGCTGTCCTGGACTGCTTTCCCGGGCCACAGGCAGGGAGCTGGATGGGAAGCGGGGCTGCTGGGATAGAACTGGCGCCCATATGAGATCCCTGGCGTGCTAGGCGAGGACCTTAACCACTGTGCCACCGCGCCAGGCCCTGTTACTGAATTTTTTAAACTCATTCAGCCTTGTTACCAAATAATGGCTATATTATTAAAAAAAAAAAAAAGATTTTCTATGGCCAGTGCCATGGCCCCAACTCCTTGGAACCCTGTGCCCATGTCCATATGGGAAATTCCTGGCTTTGGACCACCCCAGCTCTCACCATTGATGTCCAGTCTTCTCCGATTTTATTGAAAAGTGTTGAGGTAAAAATGCCATCTATAAATATGTAGATGATAATAAGCTCATGTGAGTAATTGCTGTACCAAACTTTAGATGTGCCGAAACATTAATCAAAGAAGAAAATGATTCTTTCATGAATAACTCAGTTAAGTCTATAATAAATTTAAAAAAAAGGCAAAGTCTTAAGTGTCACTGTAAGATAGCTTTAAAAAAAAAAGGAAAAAAAAAAGCTTGACAGTAAAACTTGTAAATTTTTGTCAGGAAAGAATGGGTTTGGAGTAAAAAAGAGTGAAACAATGACTTTAGTACATGTATTACGAGAATCCTGATTAAAGGAAGAGGACAAGGGAACATGAGAATATTTGTAGTTTAAAGCGAGTCTATTCTAGTAACGTTTTGCACAAGATTAAAACCTTATCTGTCTATAAATTTTAGAAATATATAGTATTATTTACTTTTATTTTTAAGTTGACATACACAAGCATTAAGGAAGTACATTGTGATGTTTCACATATGCATTATGTAATGATACTTAGAGCAATTAACAAATCTAACACCTCAAACATTTGTCTTTTTTTTTTTTGGTCAAAGCATTAAAAATTCTCTCCTGGCTATTCTGAATTATGCAAAACATGTTAACTGTGATGATTACTTGCTATGCAGTAGAACACCAAACCTTGTTCTCCTAGATAAATGTTCTTAATTATTACCCAATGATGTAAGAATGTCTAAATCAAAGCAAACTATACCTGTGTCTTTTATTTTGTCTACAACTTTAAAATTTTTGTTTCACTTGGCAAACTTAAAATGGAGAATATATACTTCTATAATTTTATATTTTAAAACATTTGCAAGTACCTGTTTTTAAATAAAATGTATATACCATGTGGTATGTTGTATTTATTTACCCATAATCTTCTTTTAAGTGTTTCAGGCTGCGTGTACCAAGTAGTTCAGACGATTGGCTTGGATGGAAAAAATCTTCTGCAATTGCTTCCAATTCCTAATTCTTCTGGAAATACTGTACCACTAGTTCAATCTTCAGTCATGTCTGATGCTTTAAAAGGGAACACAGGAAACCCAGTTCAAGTTACTTTTCAGACCCAGATTTCCAGCTCTTCCAAAAGTACATCAGTTCCATTGTCCATTTTCCAGCCAGCCAGTTCTTCAAACTATCTTCTTCCAAGAACAGTAGACACGGCAGAAAAAGGTAGAGTTGGTAATGTGGGAACTGAAAATTTTACTACTTCAGCCTCTACTGTTAAGAGTCGTGCTGTAAAAATGGATGGACTCAACATGCAAACCTTTGCTGTTCCTCCTTCCTCAACCCAAAATGATTCATCTTACGTTGTAGTCAATAGTCAGAGTCTTCCAATGAAACCTTCAGTTTTGCCTTCTGGGCATCATTTACAGATTCCAGCCCATGCTGAAGTGAAATCTGTACCAGCATCATCATTGCCTCCTTCAGTTCAGCAAAAGATACTTGGAACTGCGACCGCAAGTACCTCAGGAGCAGTGGAGACCTCCCAAATGCCAACTGTTATCTACGTGTCTCCTGTCAATACAGTGAAGAATGTAGTTACCAAAAATTTCCAGAATATTTACCCAAAACCTGTTAAAGAAATAGCAAAGCCAGCAATGCTAAATACTACACCAATTCCAACAACTGTTACAACAGAGACACAGTTAAAAAGTGGTCAGCTTTCTCAACCTGCTCCAGTGAAATTCATTTTTCAAGAAAATATACAGCCTTCTACTTCAGCTCTTATTCCTGTTAAATCTTCAAATAATGTGGCTTCAAAGATTTTAAAAACTTTTGTAGATAGGAAAAATTTGTGTGATACCATAAATTTGCCACCATTGAAAGTCACCAATTCTAGTGCACCACAGTCCATAAGTGTGCCTATTAAAGATAATGCTTTGGTCATGTTTAATGGGAAGGTGTATCTGTTGGCTAAAAAGGGTGCAGATGTTCTGCTATCACAAAGTGACCAACAGAATTCTGTTTCTACTGATACTCCACTAAGAAAAGATGCATCACAGTTAGTGAATTCAAGTACAGTCACAGAAATATCCAGAGAGGTTGTAAATATCGTTTTGGCTAAAAGTAAATCTTGCCAGATGGAGACAAAATCACTTTCAAATAGCAACCTTGCTCCTATGGTCAATATAATGGCAGAGAAGAATAAAAATGTGGAGAAACCATCTCTATCTACCACAGAGTCATGTAGTATGAATCAATCCAATAACTACCTTAATCAGAGTAAGACTGTATTTACAGAGCCAGTCTTTGCACATGGATTTAGTACAGGACAAAATGCCCCCAGAAAAGAAAATACCATCCAGAGCATAGAGAAAATAAGTTCCTCTGTTGATGCAACAAGTGTTACTTCACAACAGTGTGTTTTCAGAGACCAAGAACTAAAGGTAATATTCCCATGTCAGGATATTCTTTTCCTATATCTCTGTAGAAAATATTTGTTTCTTAATTCTTAGGATTATCTATGATGCTTCTGCTGCTGCTCATCTTTTTGCACATGTACTTAAGTCTTAAGTCAAAGCTTTTTTTTTTATCAGAGTAAATATTTGGGAAGAAACAGTTGGGAGAATCCAAGCGTATCTTTCTGTTGAATCATTTGGCATGCCAAATCTTGTAAACAAACAAACAAAATCACAGCAACAGTTTTAGAAGAGTTGGGAAAAGGGTAATGTGAACACTAACTTTACTGAAAATTTTGCATTTAAAAGTCCACTTTTAGGAGGATATGAATATGCATATAGAGGAGTTTTTTTTGCGTGTGGTGATGGTAAGGAAGTACTTCATAAACTTCTTAGATGTACTGAAAGGGTGAAACATGACTACTTAGTACCTGGCAGACATCTGTTGAAATAGGGTTTTATCAGAATTTGGGACTGGTGTAGTGTTTTTTTGTTTTTTTTGTTTGTTTGTTTTTTTCTTTCTTTCTTTAGTCCTTTCTGACTCCTCATCCAATTACCCAGTATACCCATATAATTTCATTTCTGTTCTGATGTGATTCATGTGTTAATGAAATATTTGTGCCCAACATTTCTCCAGTTAATAGAATTCATTGAAATATAGAGATGTGAGATTGTAAATCTGATCATTAGATACTATATTGATAAAAAGTAGGAGATATTTCTAGGAAACTACAGTTTCTTTTGTTTCAGTTGTGTGAGAATTAACTACTTGAAACCTTTCTAGTCCAACAAACTAAATATGTAGTTTTAAGGAAATATTTTAAGTTTGTATTCTCGTTAAGTCTAGTTTTGCTAGTGTTTCAGAATAACACAAGATACCAACAATTTAGAATTTTAAAGCGTGATGTATTCTCATGTTAGATAATCACTTAGTTGCTAACCTGATAAAAATGACTTGAGTAATTAACAGTTTTGTTTTTATTTTCTTTTGCTAATTCCAGATCCAGAATGAGATGGCATCGATATTAGAAAAGGATACTCAAGAAAGAAATGAAAGGAAGGATTCTCAAGGAAGAAGTAATAAGGCATCATATCTGAAGAGTGATGCTAAATTTAGAAAGATATTTGGTATCACCAAAGATTTAAGAGTATGTCTCACTCCAGTTGATGATTATTTGGATTCTGGAGAAAGTTCTGTTTCCTTTAGCAGTTCAGTGAACAGTAGTACTTTAAAGGAGACAGGCCTTATGGTGAAAGAAGAAGAAAGAAATCAGGTAATAAAATTTAAGTTGTTTTGGGGATGTACTACAAATACATGTATATATTAATTTTTGTTTTTTATGAATACAAAAGAATGTGTATTAAAAAGAACTAAGAACCACATGCATGCATGTAAAATATATCTCCACATTTTTATTTATCTACTTTTTCTGTTGTAATCCTATTAGAAAATAGCTACGCTTTATTTATTATTGTACCTTGAAGGCTTTAAAGGAAATAGTACAAATATAGTATAACGTATAAACTTGATGTTGCTGATTTCAGTTTTACTGTTAATACAAACATTTTAGACAGCTCTTAATGGTCAAGAATGCTGGAAAGAAATGTCCTTATAACTTTACTGTCATTCTACTCATGAATATATCATTACTATTAAATACTCTGAACCTCAGAGCAACCTGTCTAAACTTTTCCCAGGGAAAATCTTCCATATGTACCCACTGTGCAAATGAAAAAAGAAAAATCAGTGGTGTTTTTTTGGGTGTTTTCCCTAATGATATTGTACTCTGGTGGTAGGTAAGAATGGCTTCTAATCTTGACGTGAGCAGAAAAATGTAAATGAAGGTATTCATTCTGATGCTATACCAAACATTTCTTTTTTACAATATATGTTACTGAATTGACTTTCACTTCTGAGTATTTTTATCTGCAAACTATTCAATCTGAGGTTATCATATATTAATAGCATCTTTTTTCTTTCTTTTGGAATCTTACTCAACATAACAGAATTTTGATAAGAAAAGAAAATTGAAAACCCCTAAGAAGATGGATTATACAAAGAGAAGAAAAACTAAGAACTCTGTAAACACAGCCATAAATGGGGGAGCTAATGCCACCAGTTCCCAATTTCTCAGCCCTGTTTTACCTACTTCAGATGTGTTGGAGCGTGACATTGTCACAAGTCACAGCAAAACTAGAGAAGACAAAAGAGCTGAGACAGAGCATTGCACCAGTGAGAAACAGGAGGAGCAAGTTGTGTTGAGTTCTAATGTAGTTTTTGAGCAAGGTCATTCCTTTAGTAAAAATTACACTGAAGATATGTTCCCAACAACACCACCAGAATTAGAAGAAACCATTCGAGAAGAAAAAATAAGAAGACTTAAGCAGGTATTGAGAGAGAAAGAAGCAGCTCTTGAGGAAATGCGTAAGAAGATGCACCAAAAATAAAGTGTCCTATACTTAAAGACTTCTGTGAAATACCTGTTTTTTTTTTTATGTTATTGTTTAAAATACAATAGTCCCTCCTTATTCACAGGGAATATGTTCCAAGGCCCCCAGTGGGTGCCTGAAACTGCATATAGTATTGAACCCTGTATACCAGCACTGTGATCCCAGCACTGTCAGTCTGATAGCTGAGGTGGCTGCTGCGTGACTAGTAGGTGAATACTATATACAGTGTTGGTATGCTGGACTAGGGGATAATTTTTCATCACAGTAAGTAAAGCATGAAATTTATACTTGTGAATTGCTTGCTTTTGTTTAATATTTTTGGACCATAAATGACCAAGGGTAGCTTAAGCTGCAGAAGCCGCAGTTGAGGAGGGACTACTGTTATTTTGTATGCATTCCAAAAGTGTGTCCGAATATGAGATTTGTTCATCTGATTATAACTTTGTATTTAAGGAATATAGAAAAGGTTGTTTTGTGTATAATCTACGTGGGGTATCTGAACCTTTGTCTTAGATACCTTTTTCTGGAAGGAAAAGTTTTATATTTTTGTATTTTAACTTGGATTTCCCCAAGTTTAAATATGTGTGCAAGTTTTGTTGTATATTTTGCTAAATTGCTCAGGTATTACTTCAACAATAAATAGCGAAATTTTACAACCCAAAAGAGAAAATTGACTCTAAACTCTCCTTGGTTTTGAACATGTACTTTTTCTATTTCTTTACCCATTATTTTTCTTCTGTTTCATGAAAGAAAATGTATTACAGAAGCATTATTTAAATATTTGCATGTTTCTCAATAGTGATAAGTATTTATTTTGTTAACTTTAAGAATAATTTTACGTAATTAGTCTATTATGTAATTGGAATTCATGCTGTTTGATATATTGTTTTCTTAAAGTGATCCTAACTAATAGTAGCTGCTACTACTATTGCTGTTTAGATGTAAGTACACACTTTAGTATGAAAAAAAGAATCTGAACAGTGTTTACATTTAATACCTTTTCAATTGTAAAGTGTACAATTGAGGCAGACATTTTTCTGTCTGATTATTTGATTTGGGAAACTTTGAAACTGGTATGGGATTATTAGGATAAAAAATGAAGAGAAGGAAAAGATAAACAAGTAGTTAACATCTCTGGAGAGGTTTTCTGTTGTTTTTTAAACCAAAATCTGGGTATTGCAAGAAGAACAAAGAATAATAATTCAAAAATACTGAAAGGGAGATTTTGAAATAGATACAAATAATTAGTTTCTGGACTGGGTTTTTTTTTATAACACTTATTCAGATATAATTCAGTATACAATAAATTGCACCTTTTGCAATGATATGCAACATGAACACTTAATGAACATACACTTCAGAACACTTCAGAACATACTCAACAATCCCAAAACAAGCTCCATACTTTTTAACAATTATTTCCTGTTCTACAATCTCCACCCTGGAATATTTTTAACATATTTTTCTGTCAGATTGCCTGTTGTTACGATTTTATATATGTGAAGCCATAAAATATTACTTCATTGTGATTGACTTAACTTTTTGGTGGATGTTTTCAAAGTTTGTGTCATTATCTACCACTGAGTAAGATTTCATTGTATGGATATATAAATGTCTGTATCCATGAAGGATTGGTTCCAGAGCCCCAGAGGATACCAAAATCTATAGATGTTTAGATCCAAAATATAAAATATCATAGTGTTTGTATATAACCAATACACATTATCCTGTGTATGTTGACTCATTCCCAATATACCTGATATAATACAAATGTTATGTAGTTGTTTACTGTGTTGGCAGCAGTGGGAAAAGCCTACATGTTCAGTTTAATACGGTTGTTTATTATTATTATTTTCTGTCTAATTAGTAGAAGCTATAGTGCAGAATCCACAAATATGGAGGGCTGAATTACCACACATTGCTTATTCATTCATCTTTAGGGACATTTGAGTGGCTGACACTTTGGGCTCATAGACAGGAGTTTTCTTGTATTAGGGCTTAGTAAATGTACACCAACCCCCTTCTGGGGCTTTTAACGCTTTAAGGCCTCCAGCTGTGTCTTTTGGTAAACTGTGATGGGTGTTATTCCATAAGACCAAGTGCAGAAAGTCCACCTTGGACCACCTCAATGTATTTGTTGAGATCCTGCTACCTATGCAGAAAAAGTGCGTGGTGGATCTTGTGGCCCTTATGCTTTGGGCTTCTGGGACTAACACTATGTCATGGTTAATTATGCTTGTGGTGTTAGCATCCCATTTGAGCAGCATTTTGTATCCTGGCTGCTTCACTTCTGATCCAGCTCATTACTAATGTGCCTGGGAAAGCAGTTGGAAGCTGGCCCAAGTCCCAAACCTGCAGTCGCAATGGGAGGGCTGAAAAAAGCTCCAAGTTTCAGACCAGCCCATCTTCAGCCGTTGCAGCTGTTTGGGGAGTAAAACAGCAGATAGAAGATCTCTGTCACCTCTTTCTGTAAATACTTCTAAAATAATTGGGGTTTTATTGGTGGTGATGGTGTTCGTGTGTGTGTGTGTGTGTGTGTGTGTGTGTGTGTGTGTGTTTAATTGTCTGAAGCTTGCTAGAAAGTTTGCTACCTGGAGTACCTGACTCAAGAGGTTGGCTGAAAGTACCAGGCTGTGACATCCAAGTTGGAAGAAAAGAAGGAAAGGGGCCAAAGTTAATTGCTGGAAAAACTGCGTGAGGCTGCAGAAATAGGCTGAAAAGAAGGTGAAGAAAACTAGAAAGTTTCCTGAGGTTCTCAAGATCCATGGACTTCTAAGCTGAACCCAATGAATATTTTATTTCTCACACTTAGCCTGATCTGCTCTTCAGCACTTTGGACCTAGAGGGTGATTGATCTTATTGGAGGGAGTGGTCTGTGGCCTACTCATGATCATTTTAGACAAAAAATGGCAGGGGCAAGCTTGAACATATATGAATGGGGAAGATTGTCTCAGATTTTTACTCTTCCCTGTTAGTTCTGCAGCTGTTAGAATGTGAGAAAAGGCTTGGGGCATTGTGGGCCTGGTTGTACAAAGGGCATCTGTAAGTGCACGGCCTGGCAAGATGGACAGCCAGTGGGCCATGGACAATGCTTTTACAACTTTTTGTGATACAAGTTATTTTAAAAAATTTCTTTTGTAGTGAAGGTTTGGAAGAGGCATATTCTTTTAACTTTTCTTTACTGGGGAAGAATTTTATTTTATTTTCAAGCACAAAGGAAAGTGTTGGGTACGTTATCCTGAGTCGACAGCTTTTTCTTTTGAAATTTGGAATAAGTTGTTCCATTCTCTTCTGGCCTGTAGAGTTTCCTGTGAGAGGTCTCCTGTGAGTTTAATTGGCATTCCTTTATATGTCAATTGGTTTTTTCTCATGCACACTTAAAGATCTTTTTAATTAACTTACTCATTACATTCCAATTTTTCTGCTCAATGTCTGTGGGATGTAGTTCCAAAGGTTTTACTCAGTATTTTTTTTAAAGATTTATTTATTTTTATTACAAAATTGGATATACAGAGAGGAGGAGACTGGAAAATCTTCGGTCAGATGATTCACTCCACAAGTGTGCACAATGGCCGGTGCTGTGCCGATCTGGAGTCAGAAGCCAGGCACTTCTTCCAGGTCTCCCACATGGGTGCAGGGTCCCAAGGCTTTGGGCTGTCCTTGACTGCTTTCCCATGCCACAAGCAGGGAGCTGGATGGGAAGTAGAGCTGCTGGGATTACAAACAATGCCCATATGGGATCCCGGTGTGTTCAAAGCAAGGACTTTAGCCTCTAGGCCACCGTGCCAGGTGCAACTCAATATTTTCAAACACCATGAGTTCCTTGAACTATATTGCATGAGCTTCAGGTCAAGAGTTTTCTTGTGTTGTGCCTTACTGCTACCAGTGCATTTGCTACTGACTCAAGAACTGACTCACTCAAAAAAAAAAAAAAAAGGTTTTTCCACATTCACTCTTGTATGTTGGTTCTCTCTCTTTTTTTTAAAGATTTATTTTTATTATTTTTTCATTGGAAAGGCGGATATACAGAGAGGAGAGACAGAGAGGAAGATCTTCCGTCCGATGATTCACTCCCCAAGTGAGCACAATGGCCAATGCTAAGCTGGTCCGAAGCCAGGAGCCTCTTCCGGGTCTCCCACGTGGGTGCAGGTTCCCAAAGCTTTGGGCCGTCCTCGACTGCTTTCCCAGGCCACAGGCAGGGAGCTGGAAGGGAAGCGGGGCCGCCGGGATTAGAACCGGCGCCCATATGGGATCCCGGGGCGTGCAAGGCGAGGACCTTTAACCACTTGTGCCACCGCGCCGGGCCCAAGCAGTACCATTTTTAATTATTATTTCTCACACTTTGAATCCTTCTGACTTCTGCCAGCAGCCACAGAGAACTTGCTAAGGGCTCATGTTATTAGGATCACCTTTATGCAGTATAAATTCGTCAAGGGAGTGATACAATATTCCAAGTCTCACCCACTTTCAAAAGGAAAAGTGAAGGATCTTGGATTATTATTAGAATTCTGACTTTTATGTATACTAACATAATAGTGCTCATTTGAAGAAATAATACAGAAATTCAAAATATTTGAAAAATCTGCAGGACCAGTATTGTGGCACAATGGGTTAAGCTGTAAAGCTGGTACCACATAAGGGCTCCAGTTCAAGTCTCAGGTTCTAAACTTCTAATTCAGCTCCTTGTTACTGGACTGGGAAAGCAGTGAAAAATGGCCTAAGTGTTTGTGTTCTTGCACTCTCTTGAAAGACCTATTACAAGCTCCTGGCTCTGGGCCCTGTGTGGTAGCTTAGTGGTTAAAGTCTTCATCTTTCACGCACCAGGGTCGTATATGGGTACTGATTTGTGTCCTGCCTGCTCCACTTCCCATTCAACCCCCTGCTTATGGCCTGGGAAAGCAGTAGAGGATGACCCAAAGCCTTGGGACCCTGCACCTGCATGAGAGACCCAGATTAAGCTCCTGGCTTCAGATCAGCTCAACTCTGGCCTTTGCAGCCACTTGGGGAGTAACCCAGTGGACGGAAGATCTTTCTGTTTCTCCTATGTGAATCTTCCTTTCCAATAAAAATAAATAAATCCTTAAAAAAACAAAATGCAACAGCAGCTCCTATCTCTTGACTTTGGCCTGGCCCAGCCCTAGCTGTTGTAGTTATCTTTGAGGAGTGAAAATACTGTTTTTAAATTATCTGACTATTGAGTACTGTACAATTTTCTCAGGCTTTTGAGTCAGATTAGATATGTCCACTCTTAATTCCTGTTCCACATGGTTAGAAATGCAATTTTATAACAGTTATCAAAGGAGTGAGGAAGTTTTACAAAGAAATACAGCATGGTCTAATGTAGAAACTGTGAACGATTTGAACTAGCAATTCATGGAAAGTCCAGCAGATAATAGATATCACCCTTAAAATGTTAAGATAGCATACTGTATCTTTGTAAGCTTGCTTTGGTGAATTGGGGACCCAGTTCATACTTAGGAATAACAGATCTAAATCACTTAAGGTGATTCATCTTCAGATCTACTTGGAGTCTGTCCATAGAAATTGATTAAGCATTACTCTCAAGAGGATTTTTCTAAGAAGTTGGGATAATAGACACTATCCTGACTTGCCCCACCCCCTTAAAAGACTTGGATTGTTGGAACTCTTTTGCCATTCAGAAGCTAGCCAGCATGAAGATGAAGCTGACACATGAAAATGGACAAAGTCACAGAACTGCAACAAAACTGAGGTCCTGACTAAACAGTGACTGAAGTCATACTTCTGCATCTACCTCAGGATTTTTTAGCACATGAGTGTGACTGAAGAATTAGCCAATTTGAATTGAGTTTTCTGTAACACTATTTATTTGACTATTCACTCTATTGATTTTTAAGTATGCATTTGTTCATTTTGGTTAAGCTCCTATTTACTAGACACACTTTTAGAAACAAGGATACAGTGGCAAATAAAGCAATGCCC